ATTCAATAATTATTACTTAAATGTTAATGTGAGTAATATATTAAAGTGTGCTTGGCAATAACTTTTTAAATAGCTTTTACTGATTGGTAATATAGTGATTGAACTAGTTTTTAGAGATTAATGTAACGTTTTATAAAAAATTAACTTATGTAACGTTTTAGTTTTTCGCGTTTTATGAAAAGCTACTAAATCAGCTAATAGAAAACAGTTGATTTTGTTAAACAAATCCTAATTAGAGATGAATGGTAATCGATGGTTGACATAGACATCATCCCTTACATCAATAAACCTCAACAAATATTGTCAATTCCATAATTTGTATGTAAGATTTTAAACAGAATTGATGAGTTTGCCCCAATTGATGTATTACCTCCTTAAATAAGGATTCTGCCGTAGTTAGCAAGTTTCTTACTCAATTGCATATATATACACTGAATTGTCCATTTGACAAAACATTGAAGTTGACTCAAATTAGTGGTGGCCACGGTTCCGGAACCGCTGGTTTCAGTTCTGGAACCGACGGTTCCATTCCAAAAAATTTGGAACCGAAATCAAACCGAAAATTAACTATTTCGATTATGGTTTTGGAACCGAATGGTTCCGGTTTCAGTTTCGGTTCCTCAATAATTTCAAAATCGACGGTTCCGGCCGATTTCGGACCGATTCTGGCCAGTTTCGGACGGTTCCGGTTGGTTTCAGACGGAACTAGAACCTTCGGTTCCAATTGGAACTGGAACCGCCGGTTCGTGGTTCTAAAACTGGTGGAACCGAAACCGGTTTGAACCGATTGTGATTTCGGTTCGGACCGGTTCCGGTTTCAGTTCACACCGATTCAGAACCGACGGTTCTGGTTTCGAAAACCGGATTTTGGCCACCCCTAACTCAAATGTTATTTCCCTTGCAATTGGAATCATCCAACTGACTTCTAATTCAAAAATTCTTTTGCCCGAACAAACGCAACAGAAAGATCAAGAAAGACAAACCAAAAATAAAATAAATATTCAAAGAGTTCTTCTTTCTAACATTTCAATAAGACAATAATTGAATTTCAATGTGACATCACTATGTCATATTTCCATTCCTTTATTTTTTGGAGGCCACCAAATTGTCAAATATAGGCTATACCTAAATATTTGGAATGTTCACAACTTTTTGCATCCGTCTCCAACAAAACTTCTCAGCAGAGAATTCAGATTTGCCGACCGATTTGGTTTAGATCAAAACCAATCTAATTAGAATAGATTTGCTTTCAAAATGGAATGAAATTAATGGGGATACAAGCGGGTATCTATCCTCCTTTCAAGTTTCAAAATGTTATTTTTCACTTTTGTGTTTGGATAATAAATAAAAGATTTTTTTTTTTTTTTTGAAAAAGGCAAAATTTTAGAAGAAAAAATTGTTAATATTGATATCTTACCATTTTAACCTCATTTATCCTTTTACAGGAATTTGATATCACATAACTTCAATATTTAGTTAAAAGTAATTTGGCTATTTAGGTAATTGCATAAAAATTGGAGAAACTTCAATATTCCAATATTATTTTCTCTCCCAAATGAAGAGATTTTATTTATGTAAGATAGAGAAGAAAATAAATTATTTTTTCCTTCATTATTTTTCCTTCTTTTTCAAATAAGTTAAAATTACTTTCCACTATTATTTTTATCAGCTATCTTCAAAAAAATACATCGATCCAAATAGAGTGTTAGTGTTTTAATTAGACAAGACAAATCAAACGACATATATGATGTTGATGCACATTAGTATTTCATGATTAAGTCGTTTACTCCAAAGTTTGTGTTTTATTTCCATTATACCCTAATTTTAAAAATAAATTTCAAAGCTTTTGTCAGTTGGGTTTTGCTATTCAGTCCCACTCTCTTTTTTTATTTTTAATTTAATTAATAATATGTAGTTAACTTTTATTGTTTTTAACCACAGTTAAAAAAGAGAGTCGGATCCAACCATCAAACCCTAATTAGGAGAGACTGTGGATTTCACTTCCTCTTCAATCTAGGATACAATTGCAACAAAGATTTGAATTAAGATAAAATAATCTACTTCTTGAAATTAGAAGCAATCACAGCAAAATGTAAAAATTGGAGTAAATGACTTTATTAGGCCTTGATCATATATATTTATTATCTTATTTTCACTTAAGATATTTTATAATGAGTAAAATATATTTGGTTTTCAAATTATATCTTAATTAATATTTTTATCCTTCTGTTTTCTCGTAAAATTATTATAACTTTTCTAATTTTTGTTTAAACTCATTATTGAGTCATTCTGTCTAAAAATCTATCACTTATTATTAATTAAACATATTTTTAGACGAAAAATACTCACTTTTTGAATGGAAATAGACAAAAATGACTTGATAGTGATTTTAAATAAAATATTAGAGACGTTATAATAATTTCTCAAAAATAGAGAGATAAAAATGTTAATTAAAATATGATTGAAAGATCGAACTGTATTTTACCTTTTTATAATTTATGCTTCTTTAAAAATACTCTTAACCGTAATAAGGTTATATGGATTGAGCTAACATGATCATTGATGTAATGAATTATTACAAACTATCATTTTATTGATAATCAATTGTATAACTGTAGCATCAATTCTTTTTAAATAATTTTAATGTAATTAATAAAGAAAAAGAGAAAATTTAAAGGCTTTACTTGCATTCTCATGCAAAGTTTTCCTAATTTATGTAAAATTGTGATATCTATTAATTAAGTAATTATCATATTTCTGTGAAGGGACATGATCGGCTACAATCAATACACAAGGGAAGGAAAAATTCTTATGAATCACATAGAGAATTAATTTACTTATCTTGTTCAAGTACTATATTGTAAGGCATCATAATTATATTTTCCACCATGAACATAGCCTAAGGCTAAGCTATAATATCTAGGATTTCGAATAAGTTAGGCAGGATTGCATTGTACCGACACATAATGGCTTTGCACCAAAAAAAGAAATTTTATATTTTATATTTACTTATTTGAAATGGTTAATAGAAATTCAGAATCAAATAACAACAAATGAAGTGACCTCCCACTTTAGATGTACTGTAAGACAGTCTCTCGTACCAACTGCTTGTAAATGTAAAGCAAACTTATTTTTAAATAAGTATTTTTTAAAGAAAATTATTATTTATTTCTTTTTTTTTTTGTTAGTTGAAATTATTTCATAATATTTGAAGCATATTATAAAATATTGTTTTCAATTTTACAAGAAAAAAAAATATTGATACATAAAATTTTCATATTTTTTTTTTACTTGTTATCAATTTAGTTGATAATTGATGATGAATGTAGCTAAAAATGATTTATGGTAGTCGTTGAAATAATGCATTTATTTATTTATTTTTAAAGGCTCTCCATATCCTTTTTAAGATGAGATTGTTCTTGGTTTGGGATTCGAGACTCTTCTTTAATAGCTTAATCAAAATATTTAATAATTATTTTTTATGAAAATCAAAAGAATGTTTCGAAGAAAAAGAAAATTAGTTTTTCTAATTCCTATAAATAGATTTGAAATCTAGCTTTCATATATGTTTACTAATATTTAATTTAATGACTTTTGATTTAATAAAATTGAATTTGTTGTAAAAAAAATGAGTATATATTTTTATAACAAGCATAAAATAATTTTAAAATTTTTTAATTTTATATATATACAACATTAGTTTGATAAGCGGTTAGTACAATTTTAAAACAATGAATTTATCATTTTTTTAGAAAAAAAAATAATTTTATTAATTAAAATATTTAATAAGTAAGAAAAACAAATAATTTTATTAATTAAAATATTTAATAAGTATAATTAAAATATTTAATAAGTATAATTTTATTATAAATTAAAATATTGAATAAATTAAATAAAATCCGAGAGCGCCTTGAATTTTTCTTATAAAGTTGACGTGGCAATTAGCATAAGAGTTGAGAACGGCACAAGATTGAAAGTAAGCTGGACATCACTAAAAACAGAAGTGGGAGATTGCTTATTTTATACTTTGGTTGAGGAAGCTTCATAACTATAGCAGGAAAGTATTTACAGAGACATGTTTGATTGAACCTCACCTTCCATGTGGCAGCACACACATTGCAAGGTATCTCTCTTTTCAACAACATTTAGCATCTTTATTTTATATTTTCTGTCTTCACAATACTTACTGAAAAAAGACAAGTTTGTAGATTTCGGACATCATTATTATTGTTATTCACATATTTGTTAGTGGACACTGCAATAAAATCTTCCGGACAAAAGGATTTCTCAATCCAATGTCTACTAAATTTCCCATTCTTTACATTTTGTTTTTTTAATTAATGGATGTGATATAAATGTTTCACCAACCGTTAAAATTCAAGATAGTGCAGGAAATAAGAATTATAGAAAGGGCATGTAGAAAAATAGAGATTGCTTTAAAATTGAAAATCATTATATTGACAAGGATTCTAATTGTGAATGAAAAATTTACAGTACTTTGAAAAGAAAAATACAATGAATTGAAATTGTTTGAGTTTGATTGATTGGTTTTTTGGTATCGATTGTTGGAACCCCTCCTAATCCTATGTGTTTAAGCTTGTCCTTTGACCTGTAATTGCTTTCTGCTCCACTTCTACAGTTGATTCTCATCCACCAGTTAAGAAATTATGGGGCTTTTACTATTTTGGGGTAATCAACTATTTTAATTTAAAGCCCAAATTAATTATATATGTTTAACTGAAGCCCAAAACTCATAAATGGTATAAACATGCAATAAGGTTGCAAAATAACAAAATTATCCAGAAACAAGAAACGCTTTCCATTGCTTAAGAGAACAAAATCCAGTAACCATATCATATATACATATCATATAATATATACTATATATATATATATATATGATATGGTCTGTATGTTTTACGAATATCTGATTCTAAATATCATATACTCATGAAATTAGCCATCAAGAATATATTGATTAGCCTATATATATGTCTGTATGTTTTACGAATATCTGATTCTAAATTATCATATACTCATGAAATTAGCCATCAAAATATATTGATAGCCACCAAAGGAGAATAGAAAATGTAATAACAACAAAGGAAAGGGCATAGCTGATAGCTTTCATATGTGAGCCTGAAAGAGTTTGCTCAACCTGTGTTCCTCATCCCAGCGGCAATCCCATTAATAGTTATCTGCAGGGCATCTCTCAGCTTATTATTGTCATCGTCGCTTCTCAGCCTCTTTAGAATCTCCACCTGCAACATGTTCATGGGATTAAGATAAGGAAGCCTACTCTCTATAAGCCTCCTCAGGCTCCGGTTGTTCTCGGAAAGTTTCTCGTGCTCGCTAACCACTAAGACATATTTTTCTGTTGTCAAGAGTTCCCTCCTAAGCTCAGCACCAATCTCTCGCCTGTTTGGAGATACAAGTACTTCATCATAGTGCTTTGCTATTGGAATGTCTGCCTTTCCTAAAACCATTTCTATAAGGTCAATAGTAGATTGGAAAAAAGGCCATTCGTTGTACATTGCTTTTAAGTCTTCAGTGAATCCCTTCTCACAAGCATCCTTTAAACCTGCTCCAACTCCAAGCCAAGCAGGAAGAACAAATCTAGTTTGTGTCCATGCAAATACCCATGGAATGGCACGAAGATGCCCAATACCAGTTGAAGCTTTTCTTCTTGTAGGCCGGCTTCCAATGTTAAGGAAGCCAAGCTCAGCTTGGGGAGTAGCCTCATGGAAATAGGCAAGGAATTCTGGGTTTTCATAGACTGTGCTCCTGTACCTCTGGCAACTGATTTTTGAAATTTCTTCCATGACATTACGCCATTTTTCTTCTCGAGGTTGATGTGGAGGACGTAGAGTTGAAAGCAGCACTGCAGTTGTGTATATCTCTAGCTGTCTAACAGCTGTATGTGGCAGACCAAACTTGGCCTGCACCATTTCTCCTTGTTCAGTTGACCTAAGAGTGCCCTGCAAATTGAATACACATGCCATGTTCAACACCAGAATAATTTCTTTGCCACAGTCACTTGACTCGCTATAATTGATTATTGAAATTTGACGGTTTAATGCTGATAGGATTTTGGAAAAATTGGCAAGTGAAAATAGTATTCACCAAAAAAATCATCAAAACAGACTAACAGTTCCCATCGCAAAGATGCATAAACTCACCATTACTGAGCCAGGAGGTTGGGATTGTATAGCAAGATAGGTGGGACCACCACCACGACCAATGCTCCCTCCACGTCCATGGAAAAGAGTCACTTTGATACCATATTCATTGCATGCTGCCACAACATCCTCTTGAGCTTTGTAAAGTTCCCATGCAGCAGTAAAACGACCAGCATCTTTACCAGAATCAGAATATCCAACCATAACCTGTCCATGACATTTGCGAAAGCTCCAGAAAATTACATAATAATCCTACTAAAATCAACTTCGGAAGTGGCCTTTATAAAATGAATACCTCCTGATGCCCATTATGGTTCTTAACGACGTGCTCCCGGTACCAATCAATTGATAACAATTTTCTGATCACTGAACCAGCCCCTCTCAGGTCCTTCACAGTTTCAAACAATGGAACTACTCGTAGCCTGTTCCAGTATGTATGTATTGTGATAATATATACTGAATACTGTGACTGCAATACAAGCTAAGGGCACGCACTTCTCTGCTCAGCCCTGACAAGTTTTTCTAGCATGCAAGCAGAGATGACCCAATAGATTATGCATATACCATCAATCTAACATAGAGATTCAAATGAAAATCAAACCTTATGATAAAATGCCATGTGACCACTTCCAGAATTATATCTAATACCCGTGTAGCACATTCACCATTAATAGGATCATTTTCTTTCTGTAAATCCCAAAAGTATGTATTGACCAAAAATGATAGCCAGAAATCACTTAACTTCGATTGCTTAAAGTAGTGCACACATAAGTGAGAACTTTTATCACAGGAAACACATGCACAGCAATTTTAAGAAACATGCACACATTTAAGACATGCATTGTTCAGAACATATGACATATCACATCTGAAAAAAATTTTCTCGGAGCACCGAAACTAGGAAATGTGAACTCACGTTCCACCAGGACATGGTCTCCCTATCTGCCCCCTAACAGCAAGCCGGGCATCCTTTTGCAGAAGCTCCACAGCAAGGACGTCACTTGCCTGCCAAACAGCAAGTTCAAGCCAACATCACCATTCATTCTCTAATAATACACCTCAAAAGAGGGGAAAAGACCTCTAAGAATAAAAGGCAGATGCTCTGATATTAAATTCATAGGCAGAAGTTACTTTCTTATGCAGAAAAAAGAAATGGATTTGCAAGAATCAGTAGCGATAGACAAACATACATTAGATGCCATAGAAATCACATAAGCTCCAAGTGAATCACTCCCCAGCTCAGCAGCAACACGAAAAGTATCCAAGACTTCTTTAACATCAGGAGCAACCTGCAAAGGCCAATTAAGATGAGGCAAACATATCCACCACAAGCAATATGATAGGAACAGAACAGAAAAACAAGTAAAATGCACCATATATGATGTAAGAACCCTTTGCAATGCCATCTCAAGAAAAGAGATGTAATGACAAATTAATGAAAGCAGAAAATACGATTGGCTCTTATAAAATACAGCATATATTTCGCACAAATTAAGTTGTGAAACTTCAAATAGTAAACCATTTTCGTTAGTCCAAGTCGTCATCAATGTAGAGTTGGCCTAGATTGTATGAACTCTCTTGGACAAATGTAAATCTATACCCAAGGTTGTGCTATTATGTAGGAGACTGATTAAAACCTTTCGAGAACTTCAAAGTGCCACAAGTGAACATTTATAAATTATAACTATACTTAAGAAATACTCAAAAATCCAATAGATGGACACCTTTAAAGCACCCCACATTACAAAAAACTAAATTGCCACATGGATTTGCAAATATCAGGGGGGGTAAAGATAAATCTCTCCTTCTACTACCTACTTCAAAACTAAAACCTGGTGAACGTAGTAATTCAAATCATTGGACATTAACCTCAAATTATTAGTGTATCTAAAATAGAACAAAAGCAAAGAATCAGAGGGAAAATGTTGTTCTTCAGTTGTCCTTTTTTTTTTTTTCTTTTTCCATTTTCCAGAAAGGAAACCTTAAACAAACAAAAAAAATTCGTTCGCAGAAAATTATTCCTCAAGTTGGCCCATTAGGCCTTAAACCTGCAACCTTTTAGTTGCAAGAAAAAAGTTTTTTTCATCATTGCCTATTTGCACTAACAAGCAACGAATAAGTTTCTATATCTGATTTTCTGGCCAAAAGTCACTGAAATGATGTCTAAACATGTAGAGTGTTACCTCAATAGAAGGAGGAACCAATGGTCGCTTCCCTTTCAGTTCTCTTGTCAGAAATTCCAGTTTCTTTTCTTCATCCCACTCGCTGTATGTGCCCATATCCAAATATTTGGTGATTGCATCTAATGTTTCAGCATGTCTAACAGATTCCTATTACATTGCAAAAAATTTCAGGAAGAGGAACTTTACAAAAGATCATAACTACAGCAAATAAGCCAAAACAAGATGCACCTGCCGCAAGTCCAGCTTCATTAACACCATCCCAAAGGTAGCAACTCTTCTTATCAGATCAGCCAGCCGACCATCAGCTAACACTCCAGCTCCACAGGATTGCTGCAAAATTGATACTGAACATCAATTTCAACTAAAACCACTAGCGTTGACACTTTTTATCATTATTATTCAAAGGAGAGAATTGTTATAGAATGATTCAGATATTACCAGGGACTCATAGCATAGAAGCAGTGGTTCCAGTAATTGATCTGTTGTCTCATAGTACTCCAGTGGATCATTTTCACAGGGAAGATCCTCTAGAAGAAGTTCCAACCGTTTTCTTGTTCTTGTGAGCTAATATCAAAGATCATAATAATGCATACATTATCCATCTACAGTTAATAAAAGGGAATGATTAAATAAGAAAAAAGTCCTTTTCCTCCTACTAGTGAGCAAGCTATTTTAAAATACTTTCAAGACTGCTTTTCTAAGAAAAGGGCATTAACGATAACAGATTCCTCAACAATGATAAACCAAAGGCACATCAAACAAAGTCACGGCTAATGAAACTAAAACTTAACCAATTGGTGTATTGACTACAAACACTTAAAAGTTCTCTTTGACCAGAAGCCGTTTTGAATGAACTGAATGCTAATTTTAGAAGTTACTTTTATCCATCTTTTAAAGCCTTCTCCGGTTAATTAATCCTTCTCTATAACAATAACTCAAACAGAGCCATACTGTGTGCTGTAAAAACAAAATAGAAGACAATTTTTCAGACAACCGCTCAAAAATCATAGATTTCCACACAAATCCTTCCTAAGAATTGGTCATCGTAATCTAATTACCAAACTATATCCTCATCCTTAAACCCTTTACAAGGTTTAAATTTTGGAGATAATTAATTCATTATATAAAGAACATCCCCGTCAAACTGTTTCTCTATATGAAAATGGATAAGAGAAACATACTAGGCTTCAATCAAATTAATCAACTCACAGAAACTACTGCTTGTCTTACACCTTTCTATTATAAGCCCTTAATATCATTAATTCTTTTGAACTGTGACTTTATACTGTTGGCTGGTAAATGGACAGTCCCTGATCTTGGCTAGAAATTTGTTTTCTTAGCAGCACCATATCGACAAGAAAAAAAAATGTCCTTTTTTCGTATTTGACAATAAGGAATACCTTGTCTTTCACATTGCCAAGGACAATTCTATAAGGAGCAATTCCAGGACGTTCAGGCAGACTTGGCTCTAGAAGCTTCTGGAAGCTGGATCTTCCTGTCATAGATTCTGCAAATATTTTCCTCTGAGCAAGTAGTTGACTAGAGGTGAAAGATCCTCGCGGTGTCCCAGTAGTGGCAGAAGCACTTGAATTAGCAATACTTCCATTTGGAAATGATATATGTGAACCATTACTAGAATTTCCAGAATTTGAAGAATTCACAGCATCCTATAAAAATTACAGTCAGAAAGAGGCAAATAAATAAACTGCTTCAATAAAACTCCAGCTACAATGATTATGTTAAGAAGAAAATTTAGTCAGCCCTGTAAAGTCAAGACCCAAGAGCATGGCTCACCTGAGAACTCAAGGGCTTGTACTCAGTCCCTGGAAGTTCAAGTTTGGGATACTGAGATCCACCATCATTGCATTCTACACAAAGACACAAGTCCAATAAGGAATAAGCCAATTTTATTACTGTCTGGTCATTGCATCGTATATCAGGCAAAATAAATGACTTGAAAAAAGAAAGTGGCAAGCAAGTGGCACTTGGAAGTGTATGTAGAGCTTGACATGATTCGTAACTGGCTTAATTGTAATTACATGATTTGTAACATGCTTTTATACAAGCATCTCCAAAAAAAAAAAAAAAAGAAATTGTATGTAAGAGCTTGACATGATTCGTAATGGGCTTAATTGTAATTACCATGGATTGTAAACATGCTTTTATACAAAGCATCTCCAAAAAAAAAAAAAAAAAAGGCATTATTGATATTACTTCTTCTAAATTTAGGATATTATAGGAAATGGGTACTATTATTTAATGTTAAAAAAAAAAACAAAAAAAAAAAAAAAAAGGCATTATGATATTACTTCTTCTAAAATTTAGGTATTATAGAAATGGTACTATATTAATTTAAAAAAAAAAAAAAAACAATAATCTCAACGTATTTCGATTGCAGTTAAGCCATAATTATATAGATAACTCTGGACTTATACAGGAAATTGCAAAACAAATTTATTTACCAGTGCAAGCTGGAAGATCAGCCCTATCTGGAAGTTGTCTGGGAAGAGATCTAGCTTGTTGGCCATGATGCTTTATTTGACTCCTGCTACCAGGTTGATTCCAACTGTCATATCGATCCTCTGATGAAGTTTCTGTAAAGAAAATTAACCCACCGTCAGATCTCATTAGGATAATTAGGATGCAAGTGAAACATTGTGAAAACCAAGAGAGATAAGCCAAAAATAATTTTACATTGAAGATGATATTAAGTATTAACATTCATTAAATTTGCAATTGTATTGAAGGTACATAAAGACAAATTCTCTAAGGCTACATATGATTTCTTCAATTCATATGATTCATGCTATGGATTTTTAAAAAAAGCACAGACATAATTTCAACATAGGGTAACCACAGAACAAGGTTCTTTTCAGATTATAATTTCTCAGAACAAAACAAGAAAATACATAAAATATTCATAACTATATTCAGTAAGAGAAAAGGACAGACAAAATCAAAAAATTTTCAAAGTGGCCTGCAAATTTAAAATGAAGAGAAAAATTACCATAAAATAAAAAGGCCATAGAAAAAGAAATGAGAGAATGAACAGAAGAACACAACCACTTTATCCTTCATAATAAGTAAGAAGCTACACCAAATTGACTAATGTACAATGCATTACGTAAAAAAACTTCACCAAGGGCCCAGCCTTTCTAAAATTCCTTTATGCAGTTTGTCTTTCGTTTGTTGGCAAGGGCATCTATAATAAACTTCAAATGAATATTGTTAGATCTCATAAACAAGTTCAAACATGCCAATGACACAAACCTTCCATTAGAATGTCATTTGCCACTTTTAACAACCTATCGTTGCACTGGTTCATGGATAGCTCAAACCTGAGGCTATCAACTTCTCGAATGTAAAGGTCCATGGCCATCCATCTAGATAAAAGAGAGACATCTCTTGTAACCTGAAACATTGAAAGACCACTTGTCAACATTTTGTTCCTGAAAGAAACAGTGCGATATGGTTCATGTGAAAGTAAAATAATTTGCAAAATACACACGATCTCAGGACAAACATAACACAAAATAAAGCATGCTCCAAAAACAAAGTTTCTTGCAGTCCAAAATAAGTGATTCTTCAATTTCATCAATGAAAGAATGAAACTGCCTATGCATCAGGGGTGCCATACATTTTGATATGAGCACTTAATTTTTCAATTCAAAAGAAACTGTAAACATTTCAACATGAGCAGTTAATTTTTCAGTTCAAAAGAAACTGTACTATTGGGAAACTGAAAGATAGGCTCTCATCGAAACCTATAATAAAAATAAAGATGCTAAAATAACCTAAGACAAACTACTTTAATAACAACCTTAGAATTCAGTAGCATAAAATGCTATGAATAGCAAAGCAAAGATGAAACTTGTTTACTCAATACTTGCCAACTTTTCCATGAACACCTTACTTCTTTCACGTTCGCAAGGAATAAAATGGTAGATTAATGTATAATTAATTGTAAATTAAAGTATGCAGTCAATAATTAGTGAAAAAGGTTGCCCTTTTCTATTCTTTCCTGTTCTAAGACGAGGATATATTTTTCCTAAAATGATGATAAGGTACTATAACAGAAGAATGACTAGGCAAGTTCATCACTCCCATTCCATGTGTCATTTATCAGTTAAATTAACAAATCAAATATGTAGAAATCCTACCCACAGCAAAGCTGCAGATAATGGAAGATTGTCACGACTAACAAGCAGCTGAAGGAACTTTAGAAGTCTCTCACCTTTGATGTTACATTTGGATTTCCATCTCTATCACCTCCCATCCAAGACCCAAACTTTATTGGTGTGCAAGTTAATGGAAGTGGCTTCCCTGTATGCTGAGGGAGGAAAAAAATTGAACAAAATGGAAAAGCAAAGCAGCAGTCAAAATCACTTGTGAGAATTGGAAAGCCAGTGAAATCCGTAATACGTGCAGCCAACCAATCTACCAGCAATAAAAACATTAAGGGGCAACAAACCTTCTTTAGGGCATTGCTAACACGACGTAAATAATGAGGGACAGCTTTCCACAGGGACTGCTCCACAATGTTCAAGCCTGAGAGCATTACACATTAAAAAAAATCATCAATCCTATCCTAGGGATGAAGAACATTTCTTGCAAAGCACCCAGCTTGCAATTTCTTTATTATTTAAAAGCCAAATGCTCTACCAGCCCTAGCTTCATCTACTGGTGTAGGTTTGTGACGCCTAAGCTCATCTGTCTGCCATATTGAAGTAATCTCTCTTACCTGCAAAAGCAAGAGCAAACAAAAAACTCAGAAAAAAGTTCTCAAAGAAATCATACACCTCCCACACTCCATGCTGGCTTTTGTGAGAGATAAGTTGTCAGGCATGGGAACCATACCAGATCTTCAATCAGCTTTTCCCGATCTTCATGAGTAAGATCAGTTCGGTCATTGTAATCTAAAAGATGCTGCAAGAAAACCCAAATAATATTCAAATAAATGGGTTATCATCATGCTAACTGACATCAATTCCAAAAACAAAATACAAACAAACAAACAAAAAAAAACTTACAGCAATTCTAATGTGCTTATATTGCAAGGTACGACGATTAATTTGAGTAGGATGTGCAGTAAGAACAATTTCCACCTCCTGCAACAAGAAAAATTGGATAAACAAACACAAAAATAGTGCTTTATCAAGCTCGCTCTCAAACTTGCCGCTGTATTATGCTTAATGCTTTATTAACTGCAGAGAAAATTTAGGAAACAAATAGGAATTCCTGTTGTTATCTTAGGCATTCAATCTGTGAGATCCCTGTAACATGAGTTTACTAAATGAAACCCAATACAACTATTTCAGCTGCATTGACATACTCTTGTATTTTTCAGAAACTTGAACAACGTTACTCATATTTAAAAATCTTATTTTATCTTAATTCTCAACATAAGGGACCTGCTAAACCATCACCTTAAGGGAGAAAGGGGGAAAAAAAAAAGTTAACTCAAAGCCAAAAACACCAGTTAGAAAAAAACCTGCTTGCAAAATGTGTCATAAAGCTGCTCCGAAGAGATTCCACCTTGCAACAGCTGATTAAAAATGTCATCACAAGATTTTGATAGGTGTGTCATACTCCGTGCCTTGCGAACCCTGTAGCATGCAATATCTATTTACATAATTGACACAGAAAGGCTTCCCAATTTAAAATTGAACTACTCTCGGAGGAGTGCTCAAATGGTAAGGAGGGAAACGAAACTAACTAAATTGAAAGGCTATTTGCTTCATCATCATCAACTAACTCTCCAGTGGTTTACAAAAAGTATATGATATAAAGGAACAGAAGAAGAAGCTCAAGAATCAGATTTCTAAATGGGATTCTTCCTTTACTTTCCTTCCTACCATCTAAGAACTTAAAGAGCATTAGCTCCTCCTTCGTGTTATTAGAAGCAAAGAAATAGAAGTCCACAAAACAACACTCCTTGGGTACAACAAACATTAAGGACAATGCATGGCCGATAATGCAATTTATTGCTTCCAAATTAAGCAATCCTTAATATCGATTCGTCAAGCTTATGATAATTCAAGGATATTGACATATATTGAAAATAAAGCTAACCAACTTAGCAAAAATGCATAATAAGAGATGATAGTATGCAGAAACTACCTATGATGGGTCTCTGCAATCCCCATCAAAGTAAGGTAATGGCTAAATGCACGAGCAAGAGTCAGGGCTTCCTCTAATGTCATCCTTGATATCTCCGAGGCCAGCTGCTTCTCCAGCAGCTCAGCCATATCTTCTACCCCCGCCAATCTCATATTACAAGCACTCTGTAATGACACCCATATATATTTCTAATCAATATCAGTATACTATATTTCTGCATACCAAGAAAATGCAGAAAGAAAATAACAATCAAAATGGGAAAAAAAGATATTTGCTTGCCATGTGAATGAGTGATTTCATATCAAACATATTCTAAATCATAAACTTATTTGTGATCAAAACACCAAACAAAATTCTAAAACAGAAACACAACATTGAAAAAATTGAGCCAGTCTGATTTCTTAATGCCGTATAAGAATATCAATATGAAATTCTATTAAAAGGAGCAACGTTAAATACAAACAAATACAGAGAGAATCAATGATCCCGAATCTGCTAAAAACTTTTAATATACTTGTAAAAACCATTTGGCTATTTCTATAAATAAATAAATAAACATAAATCTATTTGGGTTATAGGTTACTTTCTCTCCATTTTCTCAGTATCCAAACCGACAATATACTCAACATTAAATAAATACTAAACTAAAACACAGATCTATTCGCCCTATTTTCTCTCTGTTTTCTCAGTACCCAAGCACATAAGAAACCAAAAAAAAAAAAACAAAAAATTATGCATATTCAGCATCAAAGAAAACTGGAGAGAGATTCTTCAGAAGGGAATAGAAAAGGAAAAAGAGAGACAGAGTTAGCAGTTCGCTAAGTTAATTTAGCCTTGCATTTTCCAGAAAAAAAATTCAAAAAAAAACCTTAAAGCCCCATATCATATTTCATTTCACACTATTTCCTCTGCGTTTTCAGAGTGAAAACAGAACCATGCATAACAATACTGACAACACCTTTAACCAAAACTCCCATACAGTCTCACGAAAACCAAGCATAAACCCAAAAATCAAAACAGTTTTAAAGCATCAACATAATAACTTCTCTCACAGAGTCAGTGAAGAAGAACTTGAAATGACAAATTTTTTGAACAAAAAGAAACCTGAGCGAGGATCCGATTCCTTTCAAGTTTCTCCATGAATTTGCCTCCGACTTCTCTCTGCAAAACATCATTTAACAAACTCCCCAGAAGCTTACAATCATCATCAAAGCTTTGAAATGAGATTTCCTCCGCTATATCATCTGTTGTGTCCGTCATTGTATCCAAACAGCCAAAAAGAGAAACACCAAACACTAAAACAGAGCACCTTTGTACACAAATCCCACTGTCGCTATAGAGAAAGAGAAATCTCAATAAACATAGATTCTGTTTTCTCTCTCTTTTTTTTTTTTTTTTTTTTTTTTTTTTTTTTTTTATAGAGAAAGAGGAAATTCTCAATAAAATAGATTCTGTTTTCTCTCTCTTTTTTTTTTTTTTTTTTTTTTTTTTTTTTTTTTTGGTTCAGGAGAGAGATGTGAAACAAGGAGAGTGTTGAAAGGCTGGTCAGTGTTAATGAAAATGAAATAGAGGAGGAGGGAGACCTTTCTTTTCTGTATTTTTTTCTACGAAAACTTTCTGTAAATGTAGGGCCCAGTATTTTTTTCATGGTAAAGGAAAATGCCAAAGGGAAGATTAACACGGCGTTGGTCCAATGAGAAGAAAGGATGTTTTTTTTTTTTTTTTTTTTGTCTCGTGGTGATACTGAAATTTTTGTAACCTTGTGATAGCCAGTGGTTTCCGGGAATTATTTACTTGAAAATTTTCCCGGAATAAATGCCTGCATGTTTTTTACATTTAGAAACATCTTGAAAAATAGGATCTTTTTAGGAGATTCCAGATTCCTTTGAGTATATGGATATATTATTTGGAATATTTGCTTTTTCAGGCTTAGATGGAAAGTTTAGAAAGTTATATGCTTTTTGGTTCTTTTAAATTTTAAATAGTTTATTATATTAGTTATATTATTATCTGCATAATTAATTATCATTTTTTATTTTATAAGTCAATAACTTTAATCTGCTTTTTAGAAATGTAAATCTTGGCTTATCAACTTTATAAGCATGTTTGCTGTCTGAATTAGTGTTTTTTAATCACCAGATAGTATTTCATAATGTAAAAAAGTAATTTATATTAAAAATTAAAGGAATGAATGTGAGATTATTTATCTCCTAAATTTACAATTCAAGCCCAATTTGCCTCAAAAAGCCCAAATTATGCGCAAGTCACAAGTTAAAATTAGGAGATAATTGAGATATTTTGCACTTGGATTAAGATTGATGGGACAAATTAAGTTAAATTAAAATTACTATGTAAAATATAGTTATCAGTTGAAAATGTCAATTTTCAGTTTTATAACTAGATTTTATTTTAAAATATTATTATTATTGTGTGATTGCTGAATGCTTTAAAATAAATATGGCAGAATACATAAATTCACCACTGAATTTTCTTAATTTAATTTTATAGTATCTTCAACTTTTTACTTTAATTTATTAAACATTTCAATTTATAAAACTACATCTATTAAACACTTCAATTTTAAAAATTATTTTATTGAACACTTCAACTTACAAAAATTAGATCAATTAAACATTCATTAAAAAGTTAATATTTATAAAAATAATTATTTTAAAATTCATATTAACTACATATCAAATCAATATTTTACAGATAAAATTCAAAAATTGTAAAAATAATTGATATTAGTGTCAAAATATGTATAATATTACCAAAATTTACAAATTCAAGTGCATGATAAGTCATCTATAAAGTTTAGAGTGTTAAAAGATTAAAATTACAAAATTCAATGATGAATTACGTATTCAGCCAAATAAATATTGAAAAACACATAGAAACTGAAATCTCAATTTCCTTCCTTTGTTCACTAATACAAATAATCGAGTGAGAATAAAAAATAGAAGGGAAGGCAATGAATAATTATTGCTTAAAAGATTGTTAGAAATAGAAAATATTTTTTCTAGAAAAACAAATCCAATTATACTTTTTAGAAAATATGAATGTGATTCTCATTTTAATTTTTCATATTGCGTGCCAAATATAAGAACAAAAACACCAAATACGAGAATGAGAAAAAAAGCCGACCTCATAAAAATGTCTCACTCCTCATATAAATGGAAAAATCAACTAGATCATCACTGGATTGGCTTCTCGAAAATAATTTATGGAGAAAAACAGTACAGTTTATTTAGTAAAATTAGAAAATGAAATTAAAATTATTATAATTTACAAATATCTTGCAAACAATTAATACTGGTAATGGTCCCATGATTTAAAGAGGAGGCAATCTAGCAACATTTGTCTGTCTCAAATCTCAATCAGAACTTCAATACCCAAAACCACATCGCATTTTATCAATTATATATTGAAAATAACAGTCTGTCTGATAACAAAAACATATAAATAAATATTATTATTTGGAAGAACGTAATGGAAAAGGGGCCCAATTTGTATACATTGCAAGAACACGTTAACAGTTGTAGACCCACAAAATCCAGGGCTTTATTCTTGTCGAGGTGGGTTCCACAAACTTTATGATTCGTTAAAATGGAAAAAGAAACTTTTCATTATCGTAGAGGATCATTTACGACCGCTCATGAAAATTTTGTGTCTGTTGTTTCAGGGTTAATTTTGATGATACGCTATTGGTGTTGGATTTTGGCCGTTTAGGTTGCCTGTAGAGCCGTTTTTATGCTATCCATTACTTCTCAGTCAGTCGTATACGTATTAAGAGCCTGCATTCCCCACCCTTGTCTTTAGTGGACTCCAAGTTTCTCACACTAACTTTCCAACGTATATATACATAATATTTTGTTTTTTTTTTTTATTTCGATGAAAAATTTAAGAAAAATATTTTATATTTGTGTGGTGTACTATTATTGGAAATTCAATCATTATTTTTTTATATTAATTTGTACTAAATAAATAAATATTTCAATGATTAATTTTTAATAGCAAAATGAGTTTTTTAAAAATTTAAGTGTTGTCAAATGGAGTTCTTTTAAAGAAAATTTTGTCTCTTTAATTGTAATTTTTGGATAAATATTTAATTTATTATTTATTTTTAAATATAGAAAAATAATATAATGTCATCTCGACATTAAGGGCATAATATAAAGCGAGTTATTTATTCAATTCTTTTGCTTTTACAAATATTATACAACCATCAATTTAATATTATATATATTATTTTTGTTCTATCAATTTTAACACTATTAGAAAATGATTGAATCATATCGATTTTATAAAAAAAATATATAGATAATTATAATCAAGAGAGAAAAAGTTAGCGGAGAAATCTAAAAGTTGAAGTTGGAAAAATTAATGCAATAAGAAAAAAAAAATTAAAAAGTGTCAAATTAATGGAAGAAGATAATATAGAACTTTCGAATCCATTAAAACTGAATCTTCTTGTTTTTCTTTTTTTTTTTTGTTTTAAATTATTAGGATGTTCAACGGTGGAAAATAACATGATGAATTTCAAACTTTGATTTCAAATTGGTGAAAATATTATCGTCGAGATGATTTAAATTTGAAGCTTTTCACTTTTTACATTAGTGATAAGACTAATTAAATCATAAATATTTGCCATAAATCATCTCGTTAGAATTGAGAACTCAATATTTATAACATCTTGCAACGTATTACCCTTAACTATTTATTCCCTTTCATCTATCTGCTCTAGGGATCGACTTGTTTAGATCCAGTCTATGGGCTCATTTATGAACTAAAATAATGAAAATGATTTAATGATTCGAAAAAAAATATATATTTTTATTGATTTTGATTTATGAATGAGATTATAAATCCGGTTTAGACAAGTATAATTATTTAAACTTTTTATTTTGCCCCAATTGAATACGTTATGTAATTACTTGTAATGCCATTCAAAGAGGAAAATAAGTTCGGTTACCGCAAAATGGGACTCAAGCCTAAAGTCTAAACCCAAATGTGCCTTCCAAGCACGCAACTCTACTGGCACCAATACACTGATGTGTCGAACCCATCAAGTAATGAATGAGTGATTTGATTTAGTTTAAGAAAAAGGTTGTGCTTTGAATAGTGAGGTTATAACAATATTTGATTTCTTAGTCATATCATTTAGTCCTCTAAGAATATTCCCTCGGAAGAATACACTGGAACAAACTTATCAATCATAAAAATCTACCCACAGTTGTCCAATTTTGCAGGAAAAAAATTATTATAAAACTTTTTTTACAAAAAAGAAAACACACGTGTACATTGGAGATTTTGTTTTCGGTAGAATTATTTTGGACCATAGAGTCCAAAAGCATTTTTATCTTTTCAGTTGATCTCGAAAATTAAATTTATATTTTTACTTTTATAAAAATTAAAATTATTTTTTATTTCGATTAACAATCAATAATAATGATTATACATTATTGATTGTAAAATAATTTATTTTTTAAACGGGTTTTAGAGAGATTTTATTAACACTAACTATTTGACTAAAATGATAAATTATATCAAAACACTTATAATCAAAAAAATTTAAAATAATAAGACTCAATTTATCTTATGAACTTAGGAGCAATATATAATTTATCTAAAAATAATTTTTTTGTACAATTTACCTCGCAACTTACACCAAAAGGATGAAATGCTAGATTTTTCCATCCAAAAGCTAAATTATTTATAAATTAACTAAAATTGAAAAATAATTAAATATTTGATTTGAATTAAATAATAAATAATAAATAATATTTTTCTAAACAGATATTTCAATATAAACTAATGAAAATATAGGTTGTTTAAATATTTTTATCCTTTTTTTCCCTATAAATATTAAGAAATATTCTCATTTTATTAAAAAATTTGTTTTTCATCCATTTATTCCAATAATTGACTCCATGGGACCGTGATAACTTGATAAGAGCTTAATCTTATCCTATTTTGTCTAATTTCTTATCCAAGCTCTTTTCAAAGTTGGCTAAATAATGGAGGTGGCTTGCCTACTTCCTGAATAATTGTATATCCGACGGCCATGATTCTTCGATAATAATTTGATTTAGCTCATTGGTGTGACTCGCAAACCATTATTGTGAAATGGACATGGTCATCAAATCAATTGACATTTTGTCATCTCTCTCCAAGTATAACTTGTAAACAAGAAAAATCTATTGAAGTCAAAGATAAATCTATTGAGGTCAAAGAAATAAAAAAATAATTGAAATTCGCAATGCATTGTCAAAACATTTTAGTGTGATAGCTTATTTTTATCGCAAAATTACTACTATTATTTAATTTTTTTTTCTTATTACTTAATTTTTAAATTTAGTCTAATTAATAAGTTTGTCTTTATTTTTTAAAAATTAATTATCGAGTCTGATTAAACTAATTAAAAAAATTTAATATCTATCGAGTCTCTGATTCTTGAAGTAAAAAGGTAGGCATAGGCCCACAGCCCGGAGGTGGGCTTGACTTGGACAATTTGTCCAAACTCTTTTCTTGAAACTTAAAGCCCAAACAGAGCAAACACAATTTTTTTTGGATTACTTGTAGTTATGGTGATCGATTTTTTTTTTTTCTACTTTAATACTATAATGTCTTAATGGCTAAATTTTTTGTAATCAAATATTTATGTCTAATTTATCACATCTCAAAACTAAATAGTTAGAGAAATGCGAATTAGATGTGATATAATTAGTCTTTTTATATTTTATAATGACGTGAAAAGTGAAATATTTTGGTGAATGTTATTTAAAACATAATATTTTTACTTTAACTAATATTTTCTGTTACGTCTATGCTAAGTTTTTGTAAATGCTCCGTCGATAAAATTTATAGAGAAAACCCACTAAAATTGTATGCGTAGTCAATTCTTTGATTGCTCTTAAAAAAAATCAATTATTTGATTTATTTCATAGAAAAATAATTAATAAAAAGTGACAAATTCAAATTATAGTATATATTAATAGTTTCTTATATAAAAATGTCAAGTATTTGAGGCTAAGATGAAAATTAAATTTTAATTTACTCAATTTTTTATTGAAATATATAATAATTGTACAATATATTGTTTTCAGTTTGACCGTAGAGTAACAAACACTGAAGTTTGTTGAGTTAGACGACTGAACATTAAAAAGAATTTAGTTTATCACGCAATTATGCCTGTAAGTGAATTGACTAAAAAAGCCCTCGTATAGTCTCCCTCCTCGACAATTAGAAATCGCAGATCTTCTCCTTCCATCAATTCTCTCTTCTAGAATTTCACAGCATCTTACTCCACCTTGATCCTCCACAACCAAGAGCTTTGTCAAAAACCGCATTGGCTTCGTCCACACATGGAATGGACTTTCTCCATCGATTTTTTATCGCAACTCTCTCTTTCTAGCAATTTTTAAATGGTAGATCTTGTTACTACTGTCAGTTGATGGCGTCACTCAACTTTCCGAGAACATTAGCGAAGACGGTGGCTGCGTCTTCTTTGGATTTCAAGTATGGGATTCTTATTCTTTTGTTTATTGTCTTGTATATTTATTTACTTTACCCTTTTTTTTTACTACCGAATCCTGTGATGCCACGTTGCTAGCAAATCAGACTTTTCTAAGTCCCGTTACGTGGCTTTCTTTCATTGCAGAGTTAAGAAAAACTCTACATATACCCGCAAGAGAATATCCTTTCCCGTCATTTGTAGCGGGGAAAACCTTGAAGAATCCTGGTATAAAACGCAACGAAAGGACGCCGTTTCAAGTTCCAACTCCTGCAAAATCAGATTCCATTTGCCCACTGAAAGGGTTAGAAAAATGGAGAATAGAGAAAAAAAAGTAGAGGAACCTGTGCCCAGAGTAGGCGTGGTAGTTTTTCTGTTGAAGGGGAAATCTGTGCTTCTAGGGCGGCGCCGGACTACCGTCTGTGACTTCACGTTTGCGCTTCCCGGCGGTCACCTCGAGTTCGGTAGGTCTCTCTCTAGGGCAAATATTTACATTACACCCTAAGTGACACCGTTAAATTTTGAACTCCAATGTTGTTAATTTCAGGCGAGAGCTTTGAGGAATGCGGAGCAAGAGAAATGAAGGAGGAAACAGGTTTGGATATTGCCAAAATAGAGTTTGTAACAGTAACTAACCATGTCTTCTTAGAGGAACCAAAGCCATCGCACTATGTTACTATCTTCCTTCGTGCATTCTTGGCTGATCCCAAACAAGAGCCTCAAAATCTCGAGCCAGAGAAGTGCTATGGTTGGGATTGGTACGATTGGGACAATCTCCCAAAACCATTGTTTGGGCCCTTGGAAAAAATGGTACAAAGTGGCTTCAATCCTTTCCCAATTGACTATAATGTTTGACTAGATGATGGCTAAGTTGTGTTTATGTTTGCTCTGTTCCTACTTGCTAGCTTACGGATATTATCTTATTGTTATCAAGAATTTAAAGTTCAGGGATTTGAGTATTTTTACTGGGTCTGATCTATGATGGGTTATCTTGAATATATTGCTGAAACTTTGTTTTGTTGAATTACATGAGATGGCCTGTGAAATTTAAGTTTGTTTTGTTATAAATCTTGTATCAGTTGTGAGTAATGCATTTTTGGTTTTGAGAATTCATCAAAGGCCTTGAATTAACAAGAGCATAATTACTCTTCATTAGATACCTGTAGAAGATAAGTTCAGTACAAGAATTTCTCAAGACTGCCTGAGCAATAGAAATGATTAAATGGCTAGACCTTGATAAGAATTTCTCAAGACTGCCTGAGCAATAGAAATGATTAAATGGCTAGACCTTGATAAGAATTTCTCAAGACTGCCTGAGCAATAGAAATGATTAAATGGCTAGACCTTGATAAGAATTTCTCAAGACTGCCTGAGCAATAGAAATGATTAAATGGCTAGACCTTGATGACCTTGATAAGAATTTCTCAAGACTGCCTGAGCAATAGAAATGATTAAATGGCTAGACCTTGATAAGAATTTCTCAAGACTGCCTGAGCAATAGAAATGATTAAATGGCTAGACCTTGATTCATTTCATTTTATTATTTAAATGTTTTTGAATGAATAAATTCTTATACAATAAATAGCAAGGCATGAGTAAGACATCTAGCTATATAGAAATTGGTGATTGTTTCATATTATCTTGCTAATTGCTTAAATAAATATTTTTTTAGGATATTGTAATCTATAGTATATACTTGTCTATTTTCTTAGAAATTTTTAAAAGGTGATTGATAAATCAATATTCTATATTATGAAATATTATCCGGTCACTTATAGAAGGTTAAATTTATGGAAGTTGACTAAATTTCAAAGAAAATTTTTTAATTGTAAGGTTAAAGGAGTCTGTCCTATTGATTTTGCCAACATAGTGAGAATGAGATATTCAACAAATGCATGCTACTATCACATCAACATAAACCCCAAATTTGATATCCCCTTCCAATGTAGTAATAATAATAATAATAATAATAATAATAATAACAATCACTTGAAAATATTTACCACTTAGCATCCTCTTAATAATAATAATAATAAAGGTCCAAAAAGGCAGCTGAGTAAGGGAATACCCAATCCTGTAATGCTGTGATGCTAGCAAATCAAACTTTCTAGCCAGTCAATTCTTTCCCGTTTCACATTTCCGTTCCATGACTTGGCTTGCTTTCATTGGTCGGTGACCAAAAAATCTATAAACACCCGCAACACTATATCCTTTTCGTGGCGGGAAAACCTTGAAGACTGGTGCGCAACGCAAGGAAAGGACGCCGTTTCAAGTTACAACCCGAATGAAATCAGATTCCATTTGCCAACTGAACGAGTTAAAATTTGCAGAGATGGAGAAAAGAAAAGTGGAGAATGGAGAGGAAAATGTAGAGAAACCTGTAGTTAAAATCAAGAGCCTCAAAATCTTGAGCCCTGACAAGTGCTATGGTTGGGATTGGTACGATTGGGATAATCTCCCAAAACCACTGGTTGGGCCCTTGGAAAGATTGGTACGAAGTGGCTTCAACCTTTTCCCAGTTGACTATAATGCTTGACAAGGTGATGGATAAGTTGTCTTTTTTATTTGCTCTGTCCCGACTTGCTAGTTTATGGGTATTATCTTATTTGATATCAGGAATTTAAACTTTAGGTTGTTCGGGTATTTTTATTGGGTCTTATGGGTTATCTTGATTATACTGCTGAACTCTTTAGTTGAACTATATGAAGTGGCCTGTGAAATTTAAGTTTGTTATAAATCTTGTAGTAGTTGTTAGTACTGTGTTTTTGGTTTTGATTTTTACCCAGCTGAATATAAATATGTATGAGGTCTTTTTCTTTGGATTTCTCCATGGCCTGGTATTTTAGGTTAGATGACAGGGGCTTGCACCTCCTTTCAAAGTGAGGCATTAGAGCCACTAATAAGTTTTACCGTTTTTTCTTGTTTGCAAATATGAAAATTCAGAATTCATCGAAGACCTTGAGTTAACAAGAGCTTAATTAGTCGTTATTATGCGTCTAAAAGATATTTTAATGCAAGAATTTCTCAAGACTGCAAGAGCAACATATATTGTTATGGCTGAAATGCCAATTTCACCTCAATAATTGGATTACACAAGAAGCACAGCTCTCTTGTTTATTTTTTGGCGATATTGGAGCAAAATTTTAGAAACCAGTCAACTTAGTAGTTGGCAGCTGATGTACTTGAAAGTAGAGTAGAAGAAACAAATGAAAACAGCCAAAAGTAGTAGAGACTAGAGCGAGCAAATCTTCTCTTCAGTGCGTTAAAATGTCACAGGTAGAAAGTTGAACTCCTCTTTCCGTTAACCACAACCAGTACTATACTAGTATCTCTTTGATCTCATGTAGCTGCCTTTTCGTTTTCATGTCTTAAGCTAATAGCTGTTGGATCCTGGCAGTGGCAAGCACAATTCTTTTACCGCTATTGTCTCCCTAATTTTTTTTTTTTTTTTTTTTTGTAGTTAGTAACTATACATCAGAGGATTGTATTTAACCAAACAATATAAATTATAAGATCAATTGATTAGTTGCTTGGTTGTCCTGCTATATTATCCGGAGTGGAAATTCAATCTTTCTTTTTTATTTTGGAAACTCTTTCTATGCTTCAAAAAACTGAAGGGTACAACTAGGATTGGGATTTGTCTGTTATTATTTATGCACTACTATAAGTTCAAATGTAACTTATTTTGAGCCTTAACAAGCCTTAAATATTGTGAGACTAAATCTTTTCACTTTCTTTCTATGTTAGCGAAATATGGTTTATTGACGATCAAATTATGGGAAGACTTGATTGACATGCATTAATTTAGTAATACTAAAATGACAATATTAAAGGTGCTGCCAGCAACACGTAAAAGATGGGATGAGGTGAGAGTGAGTTGAAGCTTAGAAAGCGATGTACCCATGGTGTACGCCCTGCAAATGATTTTGGCTCCTATGATTAGAGCGATGCTGAAAATTAGTAATACAATATCTGATTTATTTATTTTGAGAGTGGACTATGTATTTTATGTGATACTAATCTGATCCACAAGCCTTAAACTTATAACTTTCCTAAACGGAACCAATAAAGATGGCAATTCTATTCTTTTTTTCCCCCAGTAGGACATAGACGCTTACAGCTTCTCTGGAGTTTACAGAAAAATATTTTCAAGACATGATTTGTTTATTTCCTTTTTCAATAATAACATTGCCATTTCATTTGGCAATTAATAATGAAGTTTATTCAATTTTGTTGCATACAGAATCAGGTCATGCTTATAAGTAGCATTGTCCTAACATTGAATCAACTGTCTTCTTAGCTGTGGTATTTTTTTCTGCTATTTTGGTCTCCTTATCTAGGACTGCCTGGTACTTTTGGTGTTAAGAGAGCTGAGGACTTGAGAATGATCAGCGACAACTGGCCCATGTGACATAATTTGGTTTTTACCAGTGCAGTTTAAGAACTCTCAATTAGAGTTTTTGATAATTTAGCATACAAGGGTTCCATATTGTAATGCTTCTGGGTGAAGTGTCATATTATCATAAATTATCAAAACTAAAACAATCTCATTTAGGTACCTGTCTACAATGCTCCACCAGTTCTGCTGCTGGTATGTCAAATTGCTTTCATGACACTACATTAACATGTCCTCTAGGCTGCTTTATCTGCCATTACTACATTTTCACTGCCACATTGATGTTGCTTTATCTGCCATTACTACATTTTCACTGCCACATTGATGTGCCACTGGAACAGCTTATTGCTTTGTCACTGTTTCCAAACTACTATCACTGTCTCCAACACTGTGTTCACCCCAAAACTAATTAATTACTTGCATTTTGATCGCTGGAGTTAGTTACCTTTATACAGGCATTGTTCCCACAGACAACATTACTACAAACTGTTGCCATTGATGCATTAACGCTGACTAGTACAATTATCGTGTTAAGTTCCCATCACCCAGGTTTCTACATGCTAGTTGCTGTTTTGGTTGCATTGTCATTAGTGATATTAATCAATAGGAATGCAGTTATATACCTTTTTGCCCTTAAGGAACCAAAATTACATAGTAACTTCAACAAATTTCCTCTTGATTATTTAAAATATATGATTCTAACTTTTAAGGATGAAGGTATGACTTTTATCACCTCTATTTTAAAGGGACCAAGTGGAAGGTTGAGTATTTTTACCGCATTGGTCTGAAAGGCAAACTCATTAATCTTCTTCACCCAAGATGACCTTCATCATTCCCAAGTTGGTATTGACGATTTTAATTACATTACTATTTACTTTTTTTGACCATTAGGGTAAGTCACTAGTCACGGCGGGTTCAGTGAACTGTCGGTTCGAGATGTTTAAAATTTTAAATCGGAACCGACCCTTGAACCTCCGGTTCCGGTTCCGGCACGGTTCGAATTACGGTTCCGATTCGGTTCTGGCATTACACAAATTTTTAAAAAAATAATACTTGAACCTCCGGTTCCGGTTCCGGCACGGTTTCGAAATTAACGGTTCCGAATTCGGTTCTGAGATTACCAAAATTTTTAAAAAAAATAATAAAATTTGGATTCCCGAACTCATAAATAATATAATATTTAAAAATATGTTTAAATTTTATTAAACTAAATAAATTATTATAAACATTTTAAAAAAGAAAAACTTCTATTAAACTAAGTTAGAACTATTATTACATTAAATTTACAAATATTTTGCTAATTCTACTAATATGAAAACTATAATTTGGAATATAAAATTAAATGAAATGAGTTCAGAAAAATTAATTATTTCAAATACTAAAGAACAAATATTAAAAAAAATCAAATGAAGTAATTTAATGATGGAAAAATTGAGATTTAGTAGATAAGAATTTGAAATTGGATGTAAAGAAAATAAGAATAAACCAATAGATAATTCCAAATATTAAGGAAAATAAAGCAATAAGAAAAATAATGAATAGGAAATTTGAGAGAATTTGAATTGCAGAATAAAGAGAAGAGTTATGATACTATTGGTTGTGAAATAAAAAATCATCAAACTCATCATATTTATACATGTTTTCTCATTTATTAGTTTCCCAAATTGCCTTTATAACGAACAAATATACAAACTATATTGGGATAATTTAGTTAAAATACTTACAGTAAATAAATAAATAAATGATTAAAAAATAATAAAATTTATTTACCAAAAAATAAATAAAAAACACTTATCATATAAAAAACTATTCGTTACACTTTTTTTTTATACACTTGAAAGTATTTTTTTTTTTAATAAATCAACTATTCATGTACCATTTTTTGTATACATTAAGTAAAAAAATGGGTATTTTTTTTCACCACTTTTTATAACTTATGTACCATTATACTTCTCTTCACCATAAATCAAATCAATTACAATCAAATTAAGTGATATAAATTTTTCTATAAAAATTTTAAGCTACAATTTTTTTGTGCATCCATATAGAATAATTTTAAGCTACAATTTTTGATTGTGCATGCCGGGTCCGCATACTGGACTGGTATAGCGGGGCCACGTTTTCACCGGGCCATATTTCCCACGGTTCATATTTTAAAATATTACATGAAACCTTGAACTGGCTCTTGAACACCGGTTTCTTGTGTCAAAAAATATTAATCGCGCGCTCTCCGGTTCGTCCTAATCAGTAACGGGTTCGATTCCCGATTAAAACCGACCGGTGACGCACAGCCTACACACAAGCAGCGCCAATGTAGGGATATAGGGGAATTTCACTCACGGCAATTCAGGTAACATATATTCGTAGCAACAAGCATACTTTCGGATAAGATTTAACACTCGTATTTCCATAAATCAAATCAACTACAATCAAATCAAGTGATATAAATTTTTTTATAAAAATTTTAAGCTACAATTTTTTTGTGCATCCGGTTCGAACTGGACTGGAACCGCCGGTTCCGGGCCAATTCCGGTTCATATTTTAAAATTTACATGAACCTTAACTGGCTCTTGAACCACCGGTTTCGGTTCAAAATTATAAATCGCCGGTTCCGGTTCGTCTACAGTACGGTTCGATTCCGATTAAAACCGAACCGGTGGCCATGCCTACGGTAAGCCCAATGTAGGGAAAGGGGAAATTCACCGGCATCAGGTACACGTAGCAACAAGCATACATGTGGTAGATTTACACTCGTATTTATTACTTTTCCAATTCCCCATGTTCAGCTTAAGTTTTCTTGTCACTTTTAATGATTCTCACATATTGGGAGTTCATTTCTCTTAATGGGGGAAGATAGAATATACAGTATGCAAAGAAAGTTAAATTTGGCTGTTGCTTTTTCTGAGAATCACATGGTCAGGCTCTTTTCCTACTTTTGCATTTCATTTGATGATGAGATAAAATATGCTGACTAAAGTTAAATATTCTCACATATTGGGATTTCATTTAAAACGGGTGATATTGGTGAAATAAGAAACTCTTTGGGTCATGGTATCATGCACAGAATCTTTTGTGTAGTTATTAATAGACTATCATAGCAGCACTTAAGATGCATGTTGACAAATACCACAAGAAGTTTATGGCATCTGCAAATACAAGGTCATGCTTTAATATGCAAGGTACTATCCACTTTGAATTCCTTGACATCAAACTGGTGGCAATGTAACCTGTGCGGTGTAGTGAACGTAGACCTGGCCACACGGTGGTGGTTCTAATTCATGGCCAGGTTCCATACAGTACCGGTTAAGAAGATTAAAAAATAAACAGAGACACAAACATTTAAATTTTGCCGGCTTCAATGAGGAACCAGGACTGAACTTCAGTCTGGTCATGAACCGTGGGACCCATGGTCCAGTTCCAGTCCTTCCCTTGCCAGGTCTAAGTGAAGGTGACTTATGAACGTTTGCATGCATCTAGTTCTCAGTCGTTATTGTTCTTCTCTTGAAATTGCTCTACTCTAACTTATCCTATGCACCTCTTTGATTTTCTTCATAAATTTTATGTATTATTTGACATTTTATGAACTTTAGAAGCAATGTCCGGTTATAGTATGGTGTAAGAACTCGGTGGTGTCTCCAGTTAAAAATACATTCAATAATTTAATGTATTCTTTTGTCTTTCGATCCTAAAATCCACAAAATCTTCATGTTAACTGGATATTTTATGTGTTTTTATTTTTCTGTTTTTTTATTAACATTGAAAACCAATGCCATTATTCATTAAACTTACTAATAGTCTAATATACTTTTATGCGAAATGCATGTGTGGCTTAATATTTTGCATTGGTCAGTTTGTGTACGATCAGGTGCCACAATGGACATTTCATTTCTTAAGCATCACTGTTAGTTATTCTTGTTTCTTATCTCCTAATATGCAAGTTCCATTGAATTTTCTTTTTCTACAGTTATTGTCCGGTTTTTTGTTTTTTCACAGTGATTGTAATTAAAGTTCTATTACAATTTAATTGTCAATAATTTCCGTTTAGTCTAATGCTCAAATAAGTGTTTTGCGAATGAGGATAATCAAGACACACTGATGAAGAAGCTGTAAGAGAACAAAATGAGATAAATGGTAAATGAACAAGAAATTGCACATCTTATAGCCTTTTCTACCTCAGGCCACTCATACAAGACATTGTGGACCAGGACTATGCAGATGGTGGATTAACAGGCAACAACAGCAGATTCAGTCTTCCCCTGTTCGATATTACAATACCACATAGCACGAGCTCCGTATGGTCGCTGTCTGATATAATAATAATGATGTGAGATGCAGTGGTCCTTCAACTTAAGATGATTTTGAGTACATATGAAAAATCTTCTCTAGTGTGCTCTTATTTCTTTTTTAGTTCATCTTATTTAATGTTTATACTTTATGCACATAATATCTTCGGTTGTTTAGCTATGTAATTATTTTTTTGCTAGCAGTTGTTGGTTTTTGACTTATACTCCAGTTTTGGGCAGCTAAACTACAGTACTTCCATTAATTTGTTTCTACTTTCTTGTCTAAATATGTTAAAATTTAGATTAATAAATCTGAAATCTGTATTAGATTTCCCTCTTTCTTTTATATAAAATTATTTCCTAAGTTGGTGGCTTTGCATCATGATTAGTTGATCGGCGGCTTTGGTCGGTCCCTCATGAAATTTTTTTTTTTAAAATTTTTTATGGAACAAGTTCCATGTGAATCCATGGACTGATGGACAAATAATGCTACCAGAAAATTCAACAGGATATGACCTTGTAAGATATTCTGCAGCACATGTGGAGCATATGCAAAGGCTGGTGAGACAAAATTCTCATAGTCTTCTTTCATGACCTTGGGATCTACCACGTTGCTGAAATTCAATAATTCCTAGAGATAATCATGGAAGCCAGGCCAATGGCCACCCTATCTAGCTGCCACATTCTTTTGTGGAAGATATGTCAAGTTTATTGGCTCAATGGCTATAGCCATCATGACTAGATCACACACTTATTAAATCTTTAATTACTGTGAACTACCAATTAAGCATCATGTTAGAGCACTTTGGTGGATTCTTGTTGGTCCTTTTATTATTATCTTTACCATTTCATCTGTTAACTGTTATTTTGTTAGGCCTAACTAAACACAAGTCTGAATTCAGAAGCTTCTTCTCCTATCTACCATAAATTATAGTATTGCTTATGATTGTTTTCCTGTAATCCTGTTAACTGCAACTATCAGACTAAGATTCATTCGCCAAAACCAAAAAAAAAAAGAAAAAAAACTACTTGTATAATATAAAAGAGATTATATATATAGGATGCGATGCAGAACACTAAGGTGGCTAATTGTGGCTCATGGGTACCTGTGCATTTGGCGTTCCGGGTCAGGCTAGGTTAGGCTAATAGGAGCATGAAAGGACTAAAGAGCAGTATTTTGTTGGGGATGGTCCTGTCTTGTAGTGGGTGCGGTTGGTGTAGCCTTAACCTGCTCTTAACTGTTTCCGATGCAAGCCAGAGCAATCAGTCAAGCCATTCTCTCTCTCGCTGTCCTTATTTCCAGCTTCAGCCCCCACTTGTTCATTGATTAAGAAATAACACAAGCTATTGTCTCCTCAGATTGTGCACTATTGCACTATCTCTCTTTCAAAATCTCCTCTCTTGTCCATTTCCATCTGTTTCTTTTCTTCTTGTTTATTGTCTTTAAGCTCCATTTTTCTTTGTTTTCCTATTTAGTTAGGTGGGGCTGTTCACCTTCCTTCTGTCAGGATTCTCTTTTAGCTATTCAGTCTTAGAAGGCTGACAAAAAATAAAGGCTTACACAAACAAAGAATAAAATCAAAACCCCATATAACCACTATATAGAACCAAACAACCAAAATCAAAATCACCATCTTTTTTTCTCTTTCCTCATCCTAGTCCAACCCCCTTCTTTTCTTTCTTTTGTTCTTTGCGTTTTTCTTTCCCAGATGAAGACAATAATGGCCAAGACCCCTCATGACTCTTCTTTCTCATTCTCCAGAAGATACTTTAACTGGAGAAAGAAGGTTGTTGAAGAAGATGAAGACGATGATGAGGAAATCTTAACTTTGAACTCCACTTCACACTTCTCGTCGTGTGAGGAAGAGTTGAAAGATGCGGAGCTTAGAATTTCACTGCCATCTCAAGCAAAGCCTATGGTGCAAGAACCTAAGAAAAGGTTTTCTATGATGGCAGTTTCTAAGATCCGCTCGGCTCTCACTGTTATAAGTAAGAGCCATCACTCTGGCTCAGGAACCAAACTGATAGGTACCCTATTTGGGTATCGTCGTGGTCATGTCCATTTTGCATTTCAAGGAGATACTAAAATCAATCCCGGTTTTCTAATCCAACTTGCAACACCAACTAGTGTACTAGTACGGGAAATGGCTTCTGGGTTAGTAAGAATTGCACTGGAGTGTGAAAAGAAGCAACAAAAGAGACCAGGAAAATTGCTAGATGAGCCTTTATGGAGGACATATTGTAATGGAAAAAAAAGTGGATATGCGATTAGACGTGAATGTGGTCCTGAGGAGTGGAAGGTTTTGAAGGCAGTAGAGCCAATATCAATGGGTGCTGGCGTGTTACCGGGGAATGGAGCTAGGTCCGAAGGGGAACTCATGTATATGAGAGCCAGATTTGAAAGAGTTGTTGGGTCAAAAGACTCAGAAGCATTTTATATGATGAATCCTGATGGGTCTGGATGCCCTGAACTTAGTGTTTATTTGCTTAGAGTCTAGTTTTATAGCCATCAAGTTGGTAACTAGTAGTAGCAGTATCAGTAGTCATCCACTTCATTAATGTTTTGTGCTTTTTCATGTTTTTGGCTTTTGGGGCTTTAGTTGTTAAGCTAAGGTTATAAGAAATGGAGGTTTTATTTTTTCTGGATGGAGGAAATGGGTTTCATTTTTATGATACTCCCATTTTGGAAAATGGCTACTGGGTGAATGGAATTGTATGTATAAACATATTGTTTGGCTTGCATTTAAGGTTCAATTATTACAGGCGAGTATGCCCGTTTACATGTTATAAATTCACCTGAAACTAAAAGCTATAGTAAAATCAATTATTACAACTTTATTCAGATTTATTTGCTGAGTCATTTTTGCCTTTGATTGGTTTCACCATTTTAGAATTATTATTATTATTTTGGATTGGTTACCTAACTTTTAAGTATAAACTAGAAAAGCTCAGCTTGTTGCCTTTTTGTTGCTTTTTCATTATTATAAACTAATAACTTCCTTTTATGAGAAGCATGCCTCTTTTATATGCTAATATTTGTTGAATAAATGTCTTCATATCTTCACAGTTTATGCATTTCAAGCTGAAAACCTAATTTACCAAACTATTAGCAAATATGGGTAACCCCATCGTTTTGATTGATGATAATTTTTATGGTAGATAAGATTCTAACTCGAGATCTCTCACTCTCTCAGATCACACTCAATTGACTAAAATATCTCTAATTTTTCTGACAAAAAGTAATGTCCTAAAAATATTTGATAAATATGATGTCATTTGAAAATCTAGACACGAAATTAAAAATTCATTAAACAAGTGAAAATGAATCAGTATTTGAGAAAAAATTCACGAGGGTTAATAAAATTATTTTTCATATCTTATCTGCCTTTCATCTTGTCTTATAAATAATAATAAAAATAAAGAAGAAAAAACACTTGTGGATCTCATGCCAAAAACTCTCTTCTATTATGGAACTTGTAGGCACACCAGGCCCACTGTAAATATACTATTGGACATCTAGATGAAGGCCCATTGACATACCCGACTTATAAAAATGGCTTTGACATTTGGAATCTGCAGGTCAAAGTTTCAATCCTTTAGGAGAACAAAAACAAAATGTTATCCTATTGTCTTCCTTCACAGAAAAATTTGAATTTCAAGGAAAAAAGTTTCCATGCAACCAAACAAGACCTAATTAAAAAGGTAAGTCAAGGGAATTTTATTCGTTAACAAAGGCTTTTGTTTATGTACATGATGAAAATGAATGGAGTCTATCTCTCCCTTCATTCTTGCTCGATGTCATCTATTTTAAATGAATATAATATTTTATTTTATTCAACTATTCTCTTCATGTTTCATAGTTGTGGAAATTATTTTCATTTTATTTATATTAAATAATCCAATAAAATATGGAATTTATTACAAGATTTCAAATTAGATTTTTGTTGTTTTTATATACGTAAGGCCCAATACGGAAGACTTGGGCCAAGCCTGAGAAAAATTTAAGGCTTAGAGTGGGTCGAGCTCGTCTTTGACCAGAATTTATTGTATTATATTTTTACTTTCATGTAAAAATATTTAAATTAAATTTTTGAAAATGAAAAATAAGAATATTTTATAAACTGTACATTAAACTAGAATATCATATTAGAATTAAAATATATATTTGATAAAATATATTTGGGTCCTGTTGTATATATATCATAATTTTGATACTGTATTTGAAGCTTTTAAGAGCAAAAGAAAATTGTAATGGCACACAAATCATGATATGGTAGCTTCACATTTTGCCAAATAGGAAGACCTCAAAATTCTCAAATGTATAAAAGGAGCAAAGGGGCATCACTGTTTTTAAATTTTTACCACAGATTAGAAATAGTAGTTTTCTCTTTCTCTGCATTGCTTTGCTCCTTAAAATATGTGAATCTTGGGCATTTCAATTTGCTTCACCTTGGTTTCCTCTAAGCCTTTGTTTCAACAGGTTAAAAAAAAAAAAAAAAATTTACTTTTCACTGTTAGACCACATGTGTTTTCAGCCTATTACGGTGAGTCTAGTCATGTTCGTGCTGTGTCAAGTTTTTAAAAAGAGAACTTTTCTCTATCCATCTTTCATTTTAAAATAAAAGAGTTTATTATATATAAAAAAAAAAATTGTTATGTGAAGAATTGCAGAAGTCAAGGAATAATTATCAAATTTAGACAAAATCTAGCAACTAACTTCACAATATTATAATCTTAAAAAAAAAAAAAAGAAAGAAAAAGACTTTACAATATTATAAAAAATGACCATATGGTCTTTGTTTCTCACGTGCTATCCCCTGAATTCCTCTCAATTTGTTCTTGTCTTAAAACCCAATAAAGGAAAAACTGTTTCTAGAAGTCAAATCACAAATGAACTTTAATTGTGAAACATGCAATTGTGTTCAAAAGTGTATTCAAAAGGAAATTAAGCATAGCTCCTTAATTTAAAGTAGGAAGATGAAAATTTCAAACAAGTTAGCGCAGAGCCTGGCTTTTGTTTTCAAAAATTCAGGATTATGTTTATCTTAATGTCAACAACTTGACTATTTGAACTTTGAGGCTAAAGTCAGCTCTGTACTTTTAAAATTAAAAGTTTTTACCGTACAATTACAATATGTCCCACGTGAGAGAGAAAAAGAAAATTCTTTATGATTCAAATTCTGATAATTCCCACCGTCCTTTTTACTAATCTACATAATTATGATTTAATGTAGAGACAGTGAGATCAATCAATCAATGTTAATGTTATCACATTACAATGTTTAACATTTTTAATGCTTTAAAATATTAATTGATTTTATTACAAAATTATGAATTTTCCGTCTTTAAAATATTAATTTCTTAATTGTTCAATATATAATAAAATCCAGATCATACTTTTTTTCAAACAATAATTGACAGAGTCTGAAATTTAAAAAAAAAAAAAAAAGGTAAAAGAACATTGTACTTTTTATACTTTTCATTTTCCAATACGTTTTTAACAAATTGGGAAAATAAAAAAAAAAAAAATTTTGCATGTGCTTACAAGCTTATTATTCGCCACTAAAAGTCAATAAAAAGAACATGTTTAATACAATAATTAAAGTGATTAGTTGTTAGAGGATCAGCAAAAACGTTAACGTTTGTAAACAATACTAATTTTTAGTGTTTCAATTATAAGTGTAAACTACCAATTAATAGAATATTTTTGGTACAATAACAAAAGAAAGACAAACTAACTAGAATGAGAAGGCAAATAACTTACACAATTAAATCATGATTAAGCCAAAATCGAACCTTAAATGCGATTCGTAAAGTGCACAAAAACCTAGGTCTGTGGAGATGAACTTCGCGAACTTTGATATAACCAGGAGGTATAATTCCTTCAGAAATATTGAACGTAAAGGCTTTTTACCTCTCAATAAAGTGTGGTTTTTGAGATTAAATCTGTATTCTTACTCTTATAGGAATTGAGGTTACTTATCACCTGAATTAACACCCTTGGTGCTTAAACTTGATAAACTCCACCTAATACATTTCGTACAATTGATTAAGGAATTAAGAAAAAAGCTATCTATTTTAAGGTTATGGAAACATTGTTTTAAAATCTGGGATTTTATATTAAATCTGGCAACAGCTAGTTATTATCTAGCCTAGCTTTATAATACTATTATTGAGTGTCTTGGTTGCCCTCAAGACTCAACTATCAAGTTGCCTGCAAGTAACACTTCAATACATACACACAAACACTTGTATAAACAAATTAATTAACTAATATATTACAAAAGAAGAAAAAAAAACAATATTTATCCATTTTTATGAACCCAAAATTTCTTTCTTTAATTTACCATGTGTGAAGTGAAAATAGAAAAATTTAAAACATGTGCAGAATAATTTTATTTATTTGTACTCCAAATTTCGAACTTCAAACTTTTATAATATTAGCCCAAATAAATTTTAGATTTACTAGTACATTAATTAATATATATTTTTTTTCATTTTGGTCCTTAACCCATTTGTTGACCTTGCAGGACAAGAAATTTAAAAGGAAAAAAGTAAGAATAATTGCACAAATTGATAGCCTTACGCGTTTCATTTAATTGACTCAATATAGCTTGGTTCAATCGTTAAAGCTCATCCTGGTGTTTCTAGAATCAAGTTGTAGAGTCAACATATTTGTTCTCCAGCCCACTGTTAAGCAGGAGGTGGATGGACACCCTTGATACTAATAATAATAATAATAAATAATGCATTTAATTGAATATCAGTAAGTATTGTGTTTTATTTTTAAGGGAAAACGACCATTGCACTTTTTTTTTCCTTTTAAAATTCGTAAAGTAGTATTTTCATACTCTTTTAGAGTACAGATCTCGTTTTAGGATATCTAATTATATGTAATTTTTTACAGTTTTGAACTTAAGAGTTTATCTTACCATATACTACATATTTTACTATGATTATTTATTTTTTCCAAGGAGATTATAATTGATTATTAGTGACGACTAAGCCCAACTTGGTGTCATAGAAAATGTTGAAAGGTGGCATTCCGTACAATTATTTTAGATATCTAACCTTTAATTTTTAATTTAATCAAAATTAATTAAGGTTTGTTTAAGGAGACAAATATGCCTTAAGAGTGACACATGTATGGAACAGGATTAGTTAGATTATATATTAATTTCCAGAAAGATAAACATGCCTTGCACGAGACCTTTTTTTTCATATATTTTATATTGTTCTTGTTTCCATTAATTTTTAATTATTTTAAAATTGTTTTGCTTGCATCAAATTCTTTGGCCAACTTTATTTATTCACTGCCATTGGTCTGCCATTCCCCAGTAAGTAAATTCTACCAAATCCCCACGAATATGGAGGAGATTAGGCAAACCTAAGCATTCAATTTTTATTTTTATTTTTTATTTTAACCATGTCGCTTATAAGTCAATGCAAATATAATTTTATTAAAAGAAGTATACACAAGTGTTTAGAATCAAAATAGAAATTTAAAATTTAATTCAAAATTTAAATGTGAATAGATTTTGAATACGAGGGTGATCGACTTTTATTATAATCATTGACCTTGAGTGGTTGAATAAGTCAAAACTGTAAAATTATAGTTTTGAAAGATGGAGTTATAAGCGAAAATAATAAAATTACATATTCGAAATATGAAATTATCACGTTGAAAAAATTTTATCTATTTACTCCAACGTGAAATTACGTGTATAAATTAAAAAAAAAAAATCAAATGAAAGCCAATGGACATGTGGAGTAGGCATATTATATGAAGTCTAGTCTAAAAATACACC